TTATACTAATTCATTTTTTAAAAACATATGTATTTTTGTACTGATTAGGTCTTTTCTTACATTTAATTATGTCTTTTTGTACCTATAAAGTCTCTCTATGATTTATTTTATGATTCATTTTGTACTAATTAGATATATTCTTTTTTTTTTAATTTTTTAAAATTTATTTATTTGAATAGGGACAAAGCACATTAATGACCATCAGTCAAAAACAAATATAAATATGCCGGATTATAGCTACAAAGCTAATTTTCATTTTAATTCATGAGTTACCTTTGTATTTTTGTACTAATTACGTCTTTTCTTACGTATAATTATGTCTTTTTGTATGTATAAAGTCTTTCTATGATTTATTATCAGTCATTTTGTACTAATTAAGTCTTTTCTTACCTTTAATGGTGTCTTTTTGTACCTATAAGGTCTTTCTATGACTTATTTATGAGACATTTTGTACTAATTAGGTCTTTTCTTACTTATAATTTTATCTTTTTGTACCTATAAAGTCTTTCTATGACATATGTATGAGTCAAATTGCACTAGTTACGTCTTTTATTACTTATAATTATATCTTTTTGTGCATATAAGGTCTTTCTTTGACTTATTTTATGAGTCTTTTTGTACTAATTAGATATTTTCATGACTTATCTTCGCATTTTTGTACTAATTATGTCTTTCCTTACTTATAATTATGTCTTTTTGTACCTACAAAGTCTTTCTGACTTATGTATGAGTCAAATTGCACTAGTTACATCTTTTATTACTTATAATTATGTCTTTTTGTACCTATAAGATCTTTCTATTAATTATTTATGAGACATTTTGTACTATTTACGTCTTTTCATATTTATAATTATGTCTTTTTGCACCTATAAAGTCTTTCTATTACTTATTTTGTAAGTAATTTTGTACTTATTAAGTCTTCTTATTTATAATTATGTCTTCTTGTACCTATAAAGTCTTTCTATGACTTATTTATGAGTCTTTTTGTACTAATTAGGTCTTTTCTTACCTTTAATTAAGTATTTTTATACCTATACAGTCTTTCTATGACTTATTTATGAGTCTTTTTGTACTAATTAGGTCTTTTCTTACCTTTAATTAAGTCTTTTTGTACCTATAAAGTCTTTATGATTTATTTGTGAGTCATTTTGTACTAATTACGCCATTCTTATAATTATGTATTTTTCTACCTATAAAGTCTCTCTAGGATTTATTTATGAGTAATTTTGTACTAATTATGTCTTTTCTTACCTTTAATTATGTCTTTTTGTACCTATAAGGTCTTTCTATGATTTATTTATGAGTAATTTTGTACTAATTACGTCTTTTCATATAATTATGTCTTTTTATACATATCAAGTCTATCTATGACATATTTATTAGTCAAATTGCACTAGTTATGTCTTTTATTACTTGTAATTATGACTTTTTGTACCTATAAAGTCTTTCTATGACTTGTTTATGAGTCATTTTGTACTAATTACGTTTTTTATGACTTACCTATATGTCTTCTTTTTTTAGTAATTATGTTTTTTCTAACTCAAAAGCTTTTAATTTAGTGTTTTTTAGTCACAAAACTGTTTAAATGCCAAATGACCAGACAGTTAAAATGAAAACGTCTCCCGGTTAATAACCAAAAGCAGCTCTGGATCAGGTTGATTGAAGGCGTATTTGTATTTGTGCGTTACCTCGGTGGGGTTCAGCCAGACGTCGTTGTTCTCGGCGCTCGCCGCGCCTTTAATGGCGCAGACGATCGTCCTGGTAACGGCCTCCTTCACCCGCTCCACGCCGTCCGCCTCCTGGGGGGCAGCGGGCGCCTTAATATCGCCAAATTAATCCACACAGCACGTTCTAACGCCTTTAACAGGCCCAAAACGCTGCCCTCCGGTCCTCAATCAGCCCAAAAAGTCTCAACTCACCCCCCTGTTCATGGAGCTTCACTGGTTACCCCCGGTTACCACCGGTTACCCCCGGTTACCACCGGTTACCAATGGCTGCCCGCATCAAATCCAGGTCCCTGATGCCAACAAAGTGCTTCAGTGCTCCAGAGCCAAGTCCGATCCCACATTAGCATTAGCATTAGCATTAGCATCTGTAACCCACAGGTCTGTGTCCTAACCATTAAGTTGTTATCAGAGTAAATCCCTGTTTAACGTGAGTCTGACAACTAAGTAAGTAGAATAAATAACTTTAAACTTTAATACATTCTCTGATAGGCCGGGATCGGGATAAAAAAGCTGGATCGGGACATCCCTAACTCTGACTGAGAATTTTCCTCTAGAGGACTTATGGTCATATTGATGATAACTTTAAAATTGTGTCTACTTTGTAAGTTGCTTTGGACAAAAGCGACTGAATGCAGAAATATAAACAACATCAACAAACATCTGCCCAAAGTGCTGCACAAACCAACATTGCAAAGGGCATTTAATTAGTAAAAAGATAATTAAAAGATACAAAAACATCAAA